CAGGGCAGGTGTGTAAAGGGGAGGTGTTAGGAGAGGGGATGAGGAGGGGTAGCTCACATGATCAGAGTGGGGCTACTGGAGGAGTGGGCACAGGAGGGAGAGAAGGGCTGGTGCAGGGGGGCAGGTTGCAGGAGAGCTGAGGGCAATGAGAAGGGCAGGAGTCAGGACAGTAGAGGAGGGTGAGGAGTTGGGGGGTAACAGGCACCAGGGGAGATAATGGAGCAAGGAGAGGAGACATGGCAGCAGAGAGAAAAGGTAAAGGTTTAAAAATATTTATTAATAACTTGGTATGCTGCCCACAGCCAGTTTGTTTGCGCCCTGAGGTGCAGTTTGGGCTTATGTGGGGATCAATACGTGGCCGGCGAGTGGGAGCCAAAACAAAAAAGTAGTCAGTGTAATGATCTTCTGATGATATGTATTTTAGTAGTTAAATTCTTGGACTGTCATTGCTCATGAAAAGTGCTGTCACATAGGTAGAAATCGGGTAAATATTGCATTTTATTAATATCAGCAGAACTGACTTAAATGGGGCCTGTATGTTGTGTAGTCTTGCCTTAATCTTTGTATTCATGCCTGTCAGTGTGAGAAGCTATTTGTATATATTTGCTTGCATATGCAACCTCATTTAAGTTGAGGCCCTCAGCATGTTCTGTAAGTATCAGTGTGGCTCCTGGGACTTCCAGAGTTGAGTTGCCCTTGCTCATCCCTGACAGATGTCTATCTAACCTGGTCTTAAATATCTCCAGTGATGGAGATTCCGCAATCTCCCTAGGCAATTTATTTCAGTGTTTAACCACCCTGACAGTCAGGAAGTTTTTCCTAATGTCCAACCTAAACCTCCCTTGCTGCAATGTAAGCCAATTGCTTCTCATCCTAACCTGAGAGGCCCAGGAAAACAATTTTTCTTCCTCATCCTTATGATACTCTTTTAGATACTTGAAAGCTGCTTTCGTGTCCCTTTTCGGTCTTCTCTTTTCCAAGGTAAACAAGGCCAATTTCTTCAGCCTTGCCTCATATCTCATGTTCTCTAGACCTTTCATCATTTGTGTTGATCTTCTCTGGACTTTCTCCAGTTTCTCCACGTTTCCTGAAATGTGGCACCCAGAACTGGACATGATACTCCAGCGGGGGCCTAATGTAGATGGCTCATTCCCTGCCTAGGAGACGTGAGACTGGGCAGGTTAATTTCCAGTCCTCCTGTTTATTCTTTTCCTAAGCCAGGAGTGCACAGTAGTTCTGATGGGGGTTGGAGAGGGGATGGAAGCCAGATCCAAGATCAATGAGCCTTGGGAAGTGAGCCCATTGAAAGGAGACTAGACCTGTGGATGCCTTGGGGGTCAGCAGCAAGGGCCTGCTTTGGGAAGCCCCCTCTTTGGAGGTGAATGTGGCAGCATAGAGACACCACCCAGAAGCAGG